TGAGACTCAACAACAATTGGATTATAATAACATAATTGTTAATCATATCGCATCATTTAATTGAGGTCCGAGAAAAATGTTTTTTATGCACCTTTGTGCGTGAAAAAAGAAAAAGTCGCATTTGATCAGTAGATAGTGGGGCGATGTGGTCAGCCAAGTTAGCCACTGTTTTTACTTCGTATGTAAATATTTCTGTCTCACGAAATAGTCAAGCTATCACTAAGATATTTCACTCTAAGTATGTTCTTATTGTAACTTATACCAGCCTTTGAAGAGTTGTTTTAACAACTAATTCACATTTTCGAGAGAAATAAAATATTTGGAAAGCTATCAGCCTTTGTTCGGATCACAATTGTTCACCCGTGCTGTGTAGTCGTCTGGTGTTTTCCGGAGAGGTTCAGCAAATAAATAAATGTCCGACCAGTTGAAGCAAACAAAAGCTGCTGCGCTAGCACACCGAGTACATTCGCTACGATTCTCAAGAACAACGGATCGGGTAAAGCGTCTTCCGGTATTACTTCCGACGGATATCGTCGATCTTTGTCAAATACACGTAATTAATTCGTAAGTTATTGTCTTTCCAAAACAATTCTTTTCCCAACAGAAGTCGCCTTGTAAATATTTTCTGTTTTTCGACAGCGTAAAAAAAAATGATAGCTGCAACATATTTATGGAAAGTGATTATTTTTGAAAATCAGTTTATTGTCTTTTCATTTCTTATCAAATATGGCGGAAATCGGATCATCAAAAATTTATTTAATAATTCTATTTTTTTCATTATCATACTTTACGTTGTCAAGATCGCGAAAGTAAAACAAAATGAAAAATGATAGCTGTGATGTATTTATAAAAAGTAATCAATTTTCGAAAATCAGCTTTTTGTTTTATGCATTCTTATCAAATACGGCGGAAATCGGCTTATCAAAAATTTATTTAATAATTCTATTTTTTGTATTACTATACTTCACTATACGTTGCCAAGATCGCGAAAATAAAAAAATAAAAAATAATAGCTGTGATGTATTTATAAAAAGTGATCAATTTTCGAAAATCAGCTTTTTGTCTTACAAATTCTTATCAAATACGGCGGAAATCGGCTTATCAAAAATTTATTTAATAATTCTATTTTTTGTATTACTATACTTCACTATACGTTGCCAAGATCGCGAAGAAAGTTTATCACTGAACCACTCCATCTAGACGTTGACCTTCTGACTGAAAAAGTTACTCAGCGCGAGACTACCAGCAGCCTCCGCGACGATTGCCAGTTCTCTCGCCCACGTCTCGCGGGCGTTCGCCGTACACCGAGTGCGTGCGTGTAATGGTTACGTTACGGGTTATGTTATGTTATTCCAGCGGGATGTCGAGAGAGGAGCGCCGGAGGTGCGGGCGGGATGGAGGTAAGAGGGCAGAGTTCGCTCCATTCATACCGTCGCATGTACGATCGGTCGGCGCACTATTGCACGTGCACCGTTGCACTTGGCAGTGAGCACAGACGCGATGCAATGCCACGATAGTGATGCAGTGACTCTCACGAGATTTCTCTCGCGCTCAACAGATACGCCATTTCTGTCTTTGCACATTTTGTTTTTACGTCGCTTGAAAAAGACGTAGAATTCTGATTAAAAATGCGAGCGACGGTAAAAACATTTTACAGTTTTCAATATTAAAATCTTGATGTTTCAAATTATGAAAAAACAAAATACAAATTATAAAAAAAATATACATTAATATGACCCGAAGATTAACAAACTAGCTCGTAAGAAGCAAGAAGTAGCATTGAGGAGAGTTGTTTCTAATTAAATTTCAGAAAGATTAGAAAGAGTGCTGACAAATCACTTTTATCGCGCGCCCTTAATTTCATAAAGGCTTAAATTCGTTAGTTATTTGCCATGTCTTCAATTCGCATTTAGAAATTTTCCATTAGCGGAAAATAGGATAACAACGGTTAACGACGCTAATGTACGTAAACGTCAACCTGCATTTCAGCAGACGTCACGATGCACATACGCGGGGCCGCTAATTAAATCTGCAGAAACTCCGCGCACACATCCGCTCGCAAGGACGGCTGGCCGGACGGTGTCCTGGCGGAACGACGCTCACGTTCGTTCAGAAGTGTCCGTAACAAAATCTTCGCACTGCAGAATCCGTCGCTCCTTGTTCAATGTAGCGGGATTAAAATCCGTCCGGCGAGAGAGGCGACTTCCTCCTCGCTCCGGCGTAGAGGACTTCCGGTTTTGCGCCATTAACTAACTTGGCTTGTTTCTCGCTTGGCGCGAGTTCCTCTGGCTAACCCCGGAGTGTCCTTTGCTACTGCGGCCCTCGGCAATGCCGTACTTACGTCCCTCGTACTAATGACGGCTCCAACATCGCTCGCTGCATTCATCGCGTTATGCTCAGAATGCATACTCGAGAATGCAACGAGAGAGGATGGAAGGCGCCAAAGCATAAACGAGAGGATAGAGAAGCTCGTTATTAGGCACGTTCTTGTCTTTGATGTATCCCTAATGTATCGGTTTAACGGCGAAATAATGACAGTCGCGGATTAAGCTGCTTAATATTCCCAAATGCAAATTCATCTTGAAATTATTCGATTAAAACGTCATTACAAATTTTCGTCTCGAAAAAAAGATCAAATATCATTATCTTGTGTAATCAAATACAATTTGTTACAGTAAAAACATTCCAAAAGTAAATAAAAGGCGATTGGCAGATCGCGTGTTAGAATGACTGATCCTTTTAAAAATATCGAGCTTGCGGTAATTCGATGTTTCCGCGAAATGCATCGTATGCAACGATTACGTGATACAGGAACGTACTGTAATTGATGTATAATTGCGGTATAATTGTTGTCTGTTTATTGGAAACGGAATGCATGAAAGGATGAGAGTAAAAAAAGAATTTAGAAAATGCTACCCCATTATTCTCCGTTGATATTATTAATTCTACTACTTTTTTCTTAAATGTACTAATTATAAAAATAAAAGAAAAATGTTAATGACTATTACATAAATTATTTTAGTATTTAATTAAGAATAATAAATAAGAATAAAATAAATAATTCATTATAAATTAAATAATAGTCGTTATAGTGTTAATTAAAATAATGCGTATAAAATATACAAAAAATTGCTAAAAAATTTTTTGAAATTCTTATTTAAATTATTATTATAAAAATAATTATTATAAGAATACGCAGTTTTTTTTATCTGTATATAAGCCTTCTCTGCGAAACAGATAGTAAACTTGGCAGAAATTTGTGTCCAGACACAAAGGATGCATACATGTCTGCAGAGAGAAGTAGGATCGCGATGATAATTGCGAGCTTTCAAAGACAACGAACTTTGGTCGAACCAGCAATTCTGGTTTCTACGCTCTCATGAGTCTCCGGCAAATCGCTATCAGTTCTCCCGCAGTTAATTTGCTTCAAGTTGCAACGAAATACACTCGCCTCTGTCTCTGCTCGAAAATGTCTGCAGATTAAATGTCAGTCGTTTTAATATGTCGTTTTCTATTTATTCGATGCGCAGGATGAAATCAGTGTCAATCCTGACCGATGACCCTTGGGCATTTTCGTAGCGAAGTACACGTGGAATTTATATTGAAAATTCCATTTTCGGAAGGGTCGCCGTCGCTCACGATCGAACGTGCAAATATTTCCGGCGCTTAAGTTCACGTTGTAACGATTTTTTTTCGACGTTTTAGCGTGCGCGCTCGGAATTGAAGTAGAGTTTTTCGGCATTTTCCACACGCTTCGTTTAAACCAGACCAGATTGTCACGGTCAGAATTGTCACTTCTTTTATTCATCACAGTTTAAAAAACTACTGCTTGCGTTATCTTCAAATTCGCAGTATCCGTGGATGAAAAAAGCGCAATAAGTATGTATTCGATGTGAAAGGATGATATTGTGTGTTTTACGTAAAAGGATGATATTAATTAAAAACTCTATTTCTTCTTCATTCGGTTTACCTCGCAATTTCCGTGAATGATCAATGCAAAGGAAATCGGAAGTTTTCGTAAGAGTAGTTTTGATGCAGAATTCCGGATTTCAGTTCCTCAAACCAAATTGAAAAGTCAACTGACTTAAAAGTTAAAGAAGCTATAAGATTGAAGTATTCAAGTAATTTTGGAATTTTCTTTTCGAACGATTTCTTCAGAGACATTGCTCTGAGAAGTTAAACGCGTGTCTTCGACTATGCGATTATGGTCTTCCGGTAATTGTTTTAGCTGTCGCCGATGTAACTTTCGACGACTGCGCCGGCGTTGCACGCGAAACTTTCGCGGGCGTTAATTAACTGCTAATTGGATCTTATTAATCGAGACTCCGCCGTGCGCTCGCAGTACATTCCCCCGGCCATTGCTTTGTCTATGTTAATAGAGGGTACACGTAGCTAGGGGTTGTGCATCCACGCGGGTTAGTATAATGCATTACAGGATCTGACCGCCGCCGAAGCGATGGAAAAAGCCGAACAAAAAGTTGGATCTGCTTGCTTCGACGTTATCACAAATTTATGCAAACATCGCGAACAGCGTCAAATATGGCACTTTAATTTGTTCGCCAATTTTTTCGACACGAGTTATGTGTTAAAATTTTATTCTTAACATTCTTAGTCAAACTCTGCTGATGCGTTTTTAAATCCTTTATTTTCTGTTGATTAAAAAATTGTACCAAAATTTAGGATTTTTTGTAAACAAAGCAAAGCTTGAAAAATATAATAAAATTAAACAAAACATTTATTTTAGTAAATTAAGATGTGCAATTCGCATATTTTCGTATAAAAATAATTTTTATAGAAAAGTCTTCACTTCAAGAAATTTGTAATTTATTCTATACGTATGAGAGTATAATTCTGCATTGGAACATAACTGCATGAAATGCAATTCCGAGCACGAGTTCGTTGCACGGGACACCGCGTATACTTCTGTGAGTTTCGATAACCCGGCCGACACTATAATTAAAGTTTTGTTACGTAACGGAGAAATTTACTCGCGATTGCAGGATGCAGATACGAGGGTCGCCGATATCAGGAAGGAATGGCTGTGGGTACGTCCGAGCCCTGCCTGCGATGCCGATGCACCGAAGGCGCATTGAGATGCCGGCTCCGGGTGTGCCCGCGATTGCCGAATCCACCACCATCGGGCTGTCACGTTCGTTCACCGGCCGAGAACGTATGCTGCGCCGAGCTGGTATGCGGCGAATCACGTTAGTACACACACACAATGATATCCCTTTGATTAATCACGATATTTCGTCGATGTCAGTTTCTTTCCTTACAAAATTGTTCCGAAATTGGAAAGCTTTTCTAGACGAAATCACAAGTATTGTATTATAAATGTTTCTATATTCACACATTTCTCCCATTTACATAATATTAAAAATGATTTCACATACAATTGAGAAAATATTTTATGCATGAATTTTGTGAATTGCAATTTAATTATTCAGCGTTATTTGCGAGCTAAGGGTCGTCTGTGTTTACACACACACACACACACACACTTTGTTTCTTCTGTTAAAAAGTTTGTTGCGTTAAAACGCATAAAAGTTTCGGCTCCGCGGTAAAGCAGATTAAAGAGTTAATCGTAGCTAGGGCTTAAATTTATTATCTGACTCACAGGCGACGTCGAGAATATGTTGCGGAGAGCCAGTGTACAAACGAACATAGAAGCCGAGGATGAGGAGCATGCTCACCACTCACGTACAGAAGGTATTTTTACTTTGTTGATTTTGCACTTTGTTATTTATCTTCCTCGGCAAGGCATCGCGCGAATAATTATTTTTTTAATTACGCTGCGCTGCATTTATTTCGCAAGTGAAAAAATGTGATACAATACGTCACGAGCGAGCAATTATTTATAATTTCCGATATAATTGCTGAAAAAATTATAGGAAGATCAATTTTGTTTCCGCTGTCCTGTACGCACACTTGGTCAAATTAGTAGTGTATTATCATTTTTAAGAATTTCCATTCTAATTCCGTTTCTGAAAAGAGCGTCTGGACTACCTTTGCGGTAAATAAATGAGCCTCGTTACGCTCGAGTAAACTTGGGTAAATAAATTGAGGAAGGTAGAGAACACTCAGCTAAACTCGGGCATAACACAGAAGGGGTTAAGATAGCTCGTTACTGCTGAAACGAACGTAATTTTAAATTAATTCAGGATTTCTTTGCTGCCGTAAGGTTTATGCTAGCTTTCTTTCATCTCGACATACAGCGTCGAGACGTAGGGTTGACTGTCGTAACATTTTACCGTAACACTGTTTTCATTTGGAATAATGAAGCAAAATTTTGCATATATTATGTACGTTATAATTAAATCGACTCCTACGATCTTCGTTACCTCCATGCTATTTTAATTAATTAATTAACAATAATAAATATTATTTGTTAGCTGATAATTTTCAAACTTTTGCTTAATTGTCCACCATTTTTACTCGCAGTAACTTAAAGCCCTCTCTTTTGTTTAAAGGCGTACCGTTTACAAAATCTGTTCCGAATTTCTGAAATAACGAAGCTGAAGCACGACAAATGAAGACATAATAACATTCGTCAGTTACATTTTCTTTCAAAATAATCTTTTACGTTACTTTCTAAATATATAATGCCCGCGTCTTTCTTGAAAGCATTGTTAAATAAATTACTGGGCACCAAGAACTTTGCCGAACTTCAACGAAGCCCACGTACTATCTCACGGATAGGAACGATCTTAACGAGTGCAATTTAACGTAAATTCCAAAAACTCCATTCACAGTGCTCGATTGCAATTAAAGATTAACAGTTGTGTATAGCCTTTCCGCTCTTTTTAAAATAAACAGATGACCGTCGTTATGTATATAAAACGATACATAAATAAAAAAGTAGTAATAAATATTACGTCCAAGAGAAACAAAGCAACTGAAATACTATTGAGACGCCATTACTAACATAACGAGATCAGAAATAATGAGAAAATATAGAACTGGAGTCTTGAATACATCAAATAAAAATCACATTACGCAGTCACGAAGAAACTTATCTTCCATTTCCGTACACTTTTCCGAAGAAATCAATTTCTAGCAAGTTTTCGCATTTTTGGACCATTCGTCCTTCTTACAACTGGAGTAAAACAGGCGGAAAGCGAAATGAATCCGAAATCTGTTTCAGGATGTGTGCACGACGGCGTTCGATACGGCTCGGGATCGGCGATGATGGGCTCGCGTCGATGCGAGTACTGCTACTGCATATCCGGCACGAGGAGATGCATCCGACCCAAGTGCCTGCTGCCTCTGCCGAGATGCACGCCGCTGTACGCGCCCCATTCCTGCTGCCCAGTCGCTTACAATTGCACCCGTGAGTGTATTTTTATCACGGCGACGCGTCGTGAGTTGCTTAAAGTACCTTACCAATGGGTTCTCTTTATTTCTTTTGAAGACCACCATCCGTCCACCGTGGCGCCGGTATCGGGAAACGGTGAGTTGAAATTGTTGTCATTTACAAGGTCCTTTAACTGAATCCAGGGAAGCGGATGACGCGAGGAATTCCCGAGAAACTCGACGACGCGACGCAAAGCGCTTTGCGCCGCCGCTTATGCAGAGTTGTTTAGGCCGCAGTTTTTGGCGCTTGACGTAACGCAAAGGACGCAGAGGAATTCCATAACATATTATCCCTTTTCGACGATTCCTTGGCGATTAATTGAACAATTGATTAACCGACGATTAAAAGGATATTTCAATTTTTTCGATGCTGAGGAAATCTTGTTTTGCATAAGCGGAAGCTCTTTAAACTCGTACAAATTCAACGCTAATAGAGACGGCGTAATATGATGAATGCGACGCAGCGCAAACGGGAATTGTTTTACACACATTGACATCGTGCATGCGGATAACTTATTAAAGTTCTCTCGCGGGAGCAGAAAACTTTAAGAAAATCGGGTTATTAGGGATTATTCCGAAATTTACCGCCGTGCGACTAAAGCTCTCCTCCGAAGCACGCTCTCGAAAGTTGTGATGAAATGTGTAACTTAATAACGAAGAGTTACTGCTGACGTTATATCACCCCGCGACACTTGCTCCACAAGGATCCTAACCGTTGGATAGCCGGCGAGGTTCATTTAATGCTCGAGCTCATCGCGATGCTTTAAGTTGTAAGTTTCAAGGAAATACCGGAATGACGTAATAGCCGTGACGAGACACGTGTCGGTGTCTCGAAACACGTGCGAGAAATCGAACAACATTCTTATTATATTTCGATCGAGACTTTGACAATTTGTTTGAAGAAATATGAAAATCAATCCCTTATCGCGACTGTTTAATCTTTAACGGTAAATAAATCTTTAAATTAAAATTCCGTTAACGTGAAATCCACTTAAAGCTAACTAGGGATTAAAGTTTCGTTATCTATTTTAACTTTTAGTCGCTTATAACTCGAAAACTGTTAACACCTCAGCATCGAGAAGTTCTCGTTGTTTTTCTCAAGTCTTCCGCCGATACTTGCGGGAAAACGCGCAACTCCAGAATACCTCGCGCACCCGGGGCGGCCGATATCCCTGAGAGGTGGAGAGAGGACGAGCGCCGACGAATCGCCTCCGGATTCTCTCGTTAAGGGATCCGACAGCCGTGGAGGAACGTGTAATGCGATAAAGAAGAGTCAGTAGGTACCTACCTACCTTCGAAGACGGCGCTTCGGGCTGAGGTTGCCGTTCATTTAACGCCTGGCTTCACCGCGGCGGCTTAAATTTAAGCCGGGCTTTAAGCGCCGGTCGCAACGACGCCGCCACGCCTGTCACTGGCTGCCGGGACATTCGGGGATGGCTTAATTTTAAACGGGCGGGCCTGGAAACCACCCGGCCCGTCGGGCGGGCGAGCGGTTTGCGGCCTTGTCGTCGCGATGACTGACCATGAAGTCGGTAAATAACAATTCGCGGCGGCTCGTTAATTCCCCCTCGCAACGGATAAATATCCTCGATGTCGGCGCTCGTCAGGACGAGGCTATTACGGTTCGACGCGACGCGACACCGTCGAAGGAGCGACGATGTTACGGAGTTATGCGTCACCTCCAGCGCGTAACTTTATCAAAACGGGACAAGACTTCAGGGAGAAAGTAGGAATACATGCAGTGTAAACAGACTGAAAATTCAAAATCGGGATTAAAAGGATATTTCGCGTTTATGATAATTTGTTTTTGGAATTGCACGCGCATTTTGGCGCAATACAATGCCAATTTCGTATTTCTACTTTCTCCCGCGTGTTATGCAAATCTCCAGAAATCCGAATATTACGGAATATCTGGATGTTCGGGGGATATTCTCGAATGCCCGCACTTTGTCCGTGAGAAGGGAAGAAGTCTCTGCACGGAGGCGAAGTTTTCGCATTCGCATTCTCATGACTCTCACGGCGAATGATCGTTCAGGATGTCGCGTGGGCGAGCGCACTTACGTCGAGGGCGAGATGGTCCGCGACATCGAGTGGAAGGCCGCATGCGACAATTGTTTCTGTGCGATGGGCGCCGTACGGTGCGTTCCGCTTGCATGCGCACCACCTCTTCAAGGCTGCAGCCCGATCGTACGAGAAGGACAATGCTGCCCGTCCACCTACAACTGCAGTGAGTTCACGCAAATTCACGTCAGAGTTGTCCCGCACGCTCGATGTCCCCCCGCGCTCCCCCTTAACCCGCAATTCACGCCCGGATTGTGTTTTCCACTGAATTAATCGCGAATTTCTCGGTTAGGAATTATTGCATTTTATGTGCAGATCATTATTAAATATTGAAAAGCAATGAAAAAAAAATACAACAGAGATATTGGAAAACAACAGAGTACACCACTGTTAACTTCGTGATGTGTTTTGTAATATTCTAGTAATGGAGTTTTAATATAAAATGCAATAAAATAAATAAAAGAGCGTGACAAGCAGTATTGAAGTTTTAAAAGTCATTTGACTAAAACAAAACAAATTAAAAAAAAAAAAAAAACGTGTATATTTATGTTTTCGAAGTTCCGCGATGTTTTTGGATTAGCGAAATATTTATTACGCGGATTTTTTAATTTTCGCGTGCTTAAGCACTGTCTCTCAAACTCCTCCGGCTAGTTATTTGCAGAAGCAATCGTTTTTGTTTAATTGAAAAATTGAAAATTTTCTTTTCTTTTCGTTGCACGCGCAATGAAAATATTAGTTTCCAATGCGCGTTACACACAAAAAGAAAGTCGATCACAGCTGATGCAAGATTGAGTCTCGCTCGGTTAAATTTAAAAATATTTTACTGAAAACGAAAATATTTATTTGATACATGCCGATGCGAGAGAATAACGAACGCCGCTGTCAACAAACAGCGTCTCGTCTCCGGGTTTAAAAATATTTCCACCGGACGTTCCCACTCGCGAAAGAAAAATAAAATATTTTGGCGAGCTTTCCGCGAATATAAGCGAATTAAACACGCCGATTCTTGGAAGCGAGAAACATCTGCGAATTAAAAGAGGATTTAATTTCCGCACGAAAGCGTTTATTCGATACAGTTAATATGGCAGCTTCGCGAGCGTGACAGCCATCGATATTAATATCGTGGCAGATAGAAATATGTGCATCTACCGAACGAAAATCGGTCAGTGACCTGCGAACGTCGACTTAAAAGCATGTTTTATCCACTGTCGCTGACAATTGCTGTTGATATTTTCGCGTCTCATTTTTGAAAAAAAATATGTACACGGTGCGATTTAATTTATATCGGTTCAGTGAAAATGTACAGATGTATAAATGTATGTCCAGTTGTATATAAATTACGCGAACATCACTCACGCACTTTTATGTATTATTAATTTTATTATTGTAAAGTAATTTATTATTTTGTACACGCCGCGTAATCTTTTCAATATTGAATTTCTACATTTTTAAAATTTAATCACGGGAACGAAATAATTGATGACAAAAGATTTTCACTTAAATTCAATACGAGAAGAGAATTAAATTTAATCAATGCATCATGCTATATATATTTATATATAAACTCATTACTAATTGAAATTCCTCGCGGTAGAGCGCAAGGGTATACGTCGCTACAATTTTATGCTCGTGTGATTTTTATACGATCGAAGCTATTCGTTATTGTTAAAATGCGTCAATCGCGGTTTTTTTAACACAGATACATTCGAATGAAGAAAACACAAGCCGGGCTTCTTTTTTTTTTTAATAACATTCTCTGACTTTTTGACAAACTTGATTACCATTCAAATGTTTCTATCTTGAATACCGTAAGAAGAGATTAAACGTTCAAGGCGGCAGCATCGAAGTGAAGGCCATCCAAAACTACGCATCCTACGCCTTCATCAGCAAGGACTACGCTAAATTCCGCAAGGAGACCAACTTCATCGTACGTTTTCTTTCATGCTTCACTTATAGAGTGTAAATTATCGTATTTTTAGCTAATCTTGCAACTGTCGTCTTTGTAGTTAATTATCCTAAGTAGTTCTAACTACTCTAAGTAAACTTATCCCTTCAGATCGCAAAGTTAGCAAATAGTAGGAACAGGCTCATGGGATCGAAGTTAAGGGGAGGTGATTTATGTAGTCGGCGGAATTTAATCAATGAAATCTACCCGAAACATTGATTATAAACGCGTTAGACATTCGACTTAGTTCAGGAATTTGGGATGGAGCATACCTTATCGGATCACGGAGCACGATACGAGTTTCCGATCGGGCGACGATGTATCTATTATGAACGCGTTGCGTTATTATTAATGGGCAGCGTCGTTAGTACAGAATGCCACTTATGTTAGGAGAATTCGGATCTCGCAAGATACACGAGAATCTACTCAGATAATGGAAAACGACTGCGGCGGATTCCGAGATTCGTCGCGATTCTTTAATGAGCACGTCAATCATGCGTCAGTCTTAACTGAAACATAACTGGATCCGACAGTTTCTATTTCAAAATTCTCAATCTTGTTATCCTTCGTGTATACGTATAAAAAAGATTTTATACAAATTTTTTTAAAATTACGTTTCGTATGCATCAAATTTTATATATGCTATACTTTATTATAAAGTTTATCATTTTTTAATTTTTCATTTCTAAAGACTAACAAGTGTTTTATTAATTTTTATTCGCTTTGAAAATATCGCGTACAATTTATACAAAATTCTAAGTTACTGGGCATTGTATGATACACGTTGGTTCGCTTTTTTGTTTTTGTTTTTACAATGTCTATTTTGCATTACTTCTGCGTGTGTAGTACTCCAATGTCAGGAAATTAAATACTCACGTGCAATTGGGGTCGAATTCCGGCATTAAACGCGAGCTAAGCGAGATCATTAAATTGACCTGACCGATCGAATTACAAGCAGGCTTTGAAGCGCGCATAGAGTTTTAGAAAAAAAAAAGATCCCTCTGTGAGGCGATCCTAATTGAATTACGGTACGAGTGTGTTATTAATTGCTCAGCCCACGATTGATCAATCCACGAATCCGCCCGTCGAAGGACGAGGTCACAGAGTGGTCGAGGAACAAGTTAGCACCAGTACGATCGATCTCGAGGAGGATTCGTCTGCCGCCACCTACTCGACCGCTTGGCCCTCGACCATGGAAACCGACATTATGGACAATGAAATCTTAATAGGGACGGTGGACTACAAATCGACCTTGGAAGTGACGACTGCCGCGACTTCGGCGAATGAGGTCTCAATTTGATGATACGTAATACGTATGATAATACGAAATCTTTTGAATTTGTGAAAATTACACTTCGTTAAAAATTTTTAAACGAGTGAAGAACATTGATGCGTGTATATTTACATTTTTTTTTAATTTTTTCTACTTTACGTGTAGACGTCTGATAAATTAGAAATTACATACGTGTATGTTCAGATATACAATTGGAATTTCCATAATTCATTAATGTTCACGTAAAATAAATATTCTGAAAGAACAAGCATCAATAAGATTATAAGTTTTAATAAAAGTCGTACAATTTCCTGAAACATATATTTTTCATATTTTAATGCAGTATACTAGTTTTCTAGTACGCGAAAGCATAAATCAGATTGTAAATCAATTTTGGCGTTAATGATTATTTGTCCCCATTCGCCAGTTATCGAGTAACACTGAATCGACAGCAGCATTCGAGGCGACGTTGGCGTCCACGAAAGACGCTGATTCCGTCACCGATTCCTCCACGGTGTGCTCCACGAACACGTTCATGGATTCCACAATTGTGACAACGGAGGATTCATCTAGCACGGATGATTCGACAATTTCGTCGCTGGAATGGACGACGACGCTCCCGGAATTAACGTTCGATAATGGAAACGATGAAAACGAGGATATCAACGACGGCGAAAATAAAAATACGAGCAAACCGGAGGACCGGAACGAAGAGACTCCAGCGATGGGGGCGAAGGCGGGGGAGAAAGCGGATATAATTGAGAAAAACAAAGCTACAACGCATCCTTTCGCAATTTTCACGGACGCCGGGGACGCGCTTATCCTCGGCGAGAAATCGCCCGAGAATTTTACGTTCGCCAAGGTAACGACGAGGGGAGAAATAATACTCAGAATTTTCATACAAAAATAATGGATGCTGATGAGATATTTTTCTAAGAGCTAAACAAAGAATAATCAGAGATTTTCGCAAATTTCAGTATCTCCGCTCACTTTAAATGTCATGTCTACACTGAATGCTCTTTATTATGTTTATCTGAAAATGTTTAAAATTATGATTATAAGAAAATATCCAGGATTATAAATAACGAATAAAAATATAATAAAGTATTTTTTTTTAAATCAAAGTTAAAGTAACGCAGATTTCAATAAATTAAATTTTGACTAAACATTTTATTTCTACATTATTCGATAAAATGCTCACTTACTTTACGTCTAAATTTCTCAACTGTCGGATGTATTTGAAAATTTTTATCGTCGTAAAAATGGGGTAAAAAAAAAAGCAAATTTATTACGATTAAGCCACGTGTGACACAGAGGACGGAGACTATCGACAAGAGACCCGTCACTAGTCCATCGTCGACGATACTCATGCCAGACGACATTCTCGTGATGAACGTGACAGTGAAGACGAATGTCTCGGTGGGCCATATACAAGGCGTCACGATAAATCCAATTAGATCCATTCCGCCTGACGTTGAGGCCATTCTGAACATCACTCATCGCGAAAAGAGCGAAGACTACGACTATGACTACAGCCAGCCGACTTTGCCGCCGTCACTGCCGAATGTTAGGTGACTGTTGCCATGTCTCGATCCATCACGGATCCCTTATCCCGCTGTGATTTGACAATAAGACTTTTATTCGTGCGCGGGGGAAAAATGTTTTCCGATGAATTTCACATAATTGCGATATTTTTAGAGCGCATGAAAATATCGACAGATCCAATGCTGTGTGTATTCAATGTAATCGACGCAGTTTTATTTCTTTTTATTAGTCGGCGCGATGTGCAACCAATTTTTCACGCTTATAACGGAACCGCTTTTTGTGAATTTTGCCGGGCGGACAATACTACTGTGAATTAAATTGAAATCCTTTGTCGAAAACAACTGATTGATACCAATTTATAGTGTTACATTTTTAACGTCCAAAAATGTACAATGTCAATCGATTTTTAAACGTGCAACTATTTTCTTTTCACGCGGGAATTTAGATACATTTGTATAAAAATGACAGATAATTCTTTTGCCGTTTTTTTTTTCCACTAAAATTCTAAATTCTAAAATTCACTAAAATTGTTTTTTCCCTTGATCTTTCTTTTGTAGCCTCAAAATTTAATTAGAATTGTCTCAAATTGTTCTATACCTAAGTATGTTAATAGAACTGAATTTCGCTGCGGTAGGATAATACCCTTTGTGGCGGCGGACGCGTTGGTGGAAGGCAAGGATGTATCCTCGCCTGAGACTGCATATCCTGATTCGGTAGTAGCGTCCCCTGAGCTACGACCGACCGACGCTTCCGGTTTTTACGACATTGCAACCCAGGAGAACCGATTTAGCCCACCCGTAGAGACCGAAGGTACTTTACGATTTTCTACACGGAGTCAAATGAATGATCTAGATGCGAAGATACAGGGACGACGAGAAATTCTAAGAGCGGATTCTTTTACACGTTCATTCCTTTGCTTTTGGAACATTTACTTTTAGTTGGATTATTTCGCGTTATATTTGAAGAAAACGTTAAATGCTGTGCAATATTGCTTCGCTGCTTTAGAGTTAATCAGCTGCACAGTTTCAAATAGGAAATATTTGTTCGTAGGTGGTTTTGTACCTAGAGAGCCGTCATATTTTGATCCCTACCACTCCACAGACTTGAACCTTGAGATCGGTACTGGAGTTACCGTAGTTCCAATTACGAATTTGCATCAAAAAAACAATGGTATATATTTCCAATCAATTGCCAATACATCGAATTAAATAACACCGAATGCTGAACTAATGTACTTTTGTTTGTCTCATTAGACTTATCTAGTAAGTGCCGCTTCGAAAACATGGAATATCGTCACGGTGAGATTTTACCACGCACCACTCTCTGCATAATCTGCATGTGTTATTATGGGGAGATCGTGTGTTCCTCGGAGAAGTGTCCGCCGTTAAAGATCGGTTGTCAGAGGATCAATTCTGAGGAGAGCTGTTGCGGAAAAATTATTTGCGGTACATTTCATCCCTTTCTCACAATTATCTTCGATTTTAATTCTCTTTTACACGAGTCTATTATTACTAGATATGTAATCACTAAGATGTCAAAAATATGTAGAATAAAAAATTATTATTATATTGCAATATTGTAGAATCAACTTTAATAAATTCATAAACTTTGCGCCTCTCGAAAATAAGAAAATCTCAAGTACATAAAACAAATATAAAATTTTGTGCAAATTTATATTAAATACGCGTAAAAGACGTGTATAATATTTATTTTTATTCGTTCTACATATCACAGTCGAAGCCGACGAATCGCCGACTGTGGTGCTCGATCGTCCCGACGCCACGGCGCCTTCTCAACGGCAGCCTACAGTGTCCCCGGATCCGTTTCGCGACGTCATCAAGACTGAGCCGGCCCCCGATTTACCTTCCCTGATCGAAGACATGATCCCTTATCTGGTTGAACACGGCATTACGACACCCAGACCGACATCGATGGCGGCCTCGAAGACGTCGCTTCAAGGCTTGACAGGCAATCAACACCCGTCGAACTTCGAGTTCATGGAGCAAGTGCCGCTCATACAACCGCCCTTCGACTATAAAGAAAAAACGGTCGACTCATCATTCGTGTCACAGATGAAGCACGGTATAAATCACGAAGTACCGTCGAAGGACACCGTCCCGTTAACGTACGATTCCAAGGATCAGCCTCTGGATAGCGAGCCTGAAAGTCCCGCGACAGGAATCGTCAGCTATGACAAGACGTCCTTGACTAATAACTTAAATCATACAAATAACAATTCGAGGAATGATCTTTCTCTAAACAATACTACAGAGTTGGCGAAGGAAAATGCATCTAAGCCGCACGAAACTGCCGACGGAAACTTCACTAGCAAGGTGGACAATCGTATTACGAAATACGACAATTATACCGAGTCGATTAACTCGTCAAGTGAAGACGGCGAGACCGCTGGGGACGCCGAGGACGACACTATCTTTTCCTTGGACAGCATCCTCGAGCTGCTATTTTCCTCGAATACCAGTTCCAGTGTCAAATCGACCGAAACCACGAAGACGCCAGATGCTTCCTCCGTCGTCAGTGGTCTACGAGAGGATCAGGGGGTTCTCGTCACCTCATCGACAACTACGGAGAGGCTAACCGAGGAGACGGAAATTGTCGAGACGTCCTCGAAGATCCTCGACAATGAGATACCGATGTCCGTGGGCAGTTTGTTGAAGCTAGCGGGCTGCAATATATATGGGCGAATGTACCGTGTCGGCAGAATCATCACAGAGCTCTCAAGTCCCTGCCAGGAGTGCAAGTGCACGGAAATTGGTGTCCAGTGCAAACAGTTGGAATGTTGATCGGACACTGATTTCCTCTGTGTGTCCGTCGAGTTCTGATTTAATGCTCTTGTAGGAAAGCGTCTCGCGAATAATTGAACCTGCCGTTCCGATATACAATAAGACCGTTCCGTCGTAAATCGAAAGTGCGTGTGTGCTGTGCGGAATATTATCGAGAACGGACGAAGAAGCTGCTTTGCGATTTTTGAAGCGGATAATGCAATTGTAGCTTTTAAATTATGTTATCTTCTGTTTTAAAAGCCATGAAGTTTGCGACAATAATGGAAAATGTTTGAGATCTCAAAATTGTGTGTCTTATGTATGTGTGTGAGAGAGAGAAAATAAAACTTTTATATCAAAATTCGCAAATAATAAATTTAAATAATTTTAAGTGAGCTTTCGAAAATTTTGGAATTAAGAATACATCATAAATCTTACTAAAATAAAGGATAATTAAATTAATCATTTCACGGGATGGCAGACAGCATCATTTTAACATCCATTTCATACTACATCTTGCGTCTATGAAATTTCTTTAACGAAATCAATTTCGCGATAGTTGTTTGATGTGTGTTCTTCTCTTTCAACTTTGGATATGTTTACCATGGTAACAGAATACGAAATACTGCACTATCAGTGTAGTTAGACGATGGCGGAAACTATGAATCTTTGAAACTATCAAGATAGCCCGTTGTTGTACTTTCTGCCAAGATGTCCTGGCAGAACGATGAATCTTCAGCCAGAACTTCGGACAACTTGGACCACGTAATTATCCAAGCAGAACCGATAGACTCAGTCTCGATGACCCTCGATAACGAGACACCGACGTTCATGGTTAGATTACTCTAACTGGATGTAATATCCGGGTTGTATCGCGTCCGACGGATCATTACATAGTCTTCGTAGTCTACATAATTTTCGTGTAGAATACGACAACATCACAGGCAGATTATGATGTAGAAATTGATGCAACTCGAGCTTCAGTCCCTTCCTGTTCAGGCACCTCGCAGAATAATATTTTTCCCGCGAAATACTTTTTTTTTTTTTTAAATCACATGAAACGAGAGGCTTGAAAAGATTAATATTTTCGATTTTGGAAAAACGAGGAGAAATTGCAAACTCGCGGGGGATTCAGATTTTAGCGGTTTACACGGTGTCGATTTCAAGAGACTGCAAAAACCGCTTATCGGAGCTAGTAGGTTGCCCCTTCGGTATTTGCTTGCTCCGTGATTTTTCATCGATTGAAAATTGACGCCAGTTGGAAATTTCTTCGCTTTTTCTACGGGTATCCGCGCGTGTAATTCCCTTCGATTGGAGGTATCGCCCCCGGTAATCCGGCCCATAGTTCACCGCGCGACCGTGGTCTTATCCCCGGATTCCCAGAATCTTCCTTCTAATTTCTTTCGTGCCCGTCGTTTTCTCCCGCTGTATCGGCGAGAGCATTATTCCCGGAACGTCGCACGAAGGTCATAAACGCGTACCTTAGGAGAATCCATGTCTTGGCGGGATCGATCAGGATGTAATTGTGAGGAATAGTCCTTCCGTGCCTCGAAGGATAAGTGGATAAAGGCGGAAGTTAGCGCGGTATTCGTTTCGTTCCCGACCGCCTTTTCTCTTTAATGGGAATTATCCGTCTATATACCGCGATGGGACGCCGGGGGTGCCGTTTTGATTTATCTTCGTAATTTATCTCTCCAAACCGAATGCAAAAGATGTCGCGTTGGAGTGCTACAACGACGAGGGAAAGAGGAAACGAGAGAATAATCACTCGACGTTCTTGCAAAATTCAAATTGTCCAGCTAAATTATACGTCTTTTGTGGACAAACGAGATTTGTCGCGCACACAATACCGGTCATCAATTTGTGCCGTTGCTAAAAAAGAAATATTTGCGAATATATTGCAATTTATCGCAAATGTTAATTAATATTCATATAATTCAAATTCAATATTTAATTCTAATTGAAAAAGTTACTTGATATTGAAAGATTGACTTATCGAGATTGTTTTCTTCAGTATTTTGCTAATCTGTAAATGTTCACAGCATGAATAACTATAAGAATACTTATGTTAATTTTTAAGTTATAGTAACGATCTCAATAGCATTATTGATTAAAGTGTTGGACAATCCGATAAAAATATATTATATATCCTATATATACATATATATATATATATATATATATATGTATATGCAGGAT